ACACCAGAGCACAGAGTGATGTCCTCTGACGATGCCGGCCGTAGAGACTGGTGAAATGTTAGGAAGAACAACCTTCAGAACATGGCCAAAGAGCAAAAAAACCCCACAACAACCATAATGTTTTTTTCTCACTACATGTAATTTATTTCATACGATATATTTTTCATTAGTTACAGCATTTTCCTTTGGGCTTTCTGTTCATGCTCCTTTATAAATGTACAGTTCCTCTTGACTCATCTCTAAAGGATATTTCATTTCCTCTTTCTCCCTACCTCACTGTTTTAGGCATTTGACCCTTTCTGTCATAGCTATTTTTTCTGTTTGATGGCTGGTAAGCACAAAGACAGAGATGCAGTAGAATTATTGTTAGAGCAAGCTGTTGTGTGATAGTTAATTGGCAAGAACTTTTAAATGCTATTTTCATCATGGAATTGTCAACAGATGGATACAGAACATTTAATAGCAATGCTCTTGGATTTGTTAATTACTAATTGAATGTCTGGCTATAACTGAAGTCAATGGTTAGTTTCCCATTAAATTCAGTAGGATGTTATTCTTCGAGGGCACTCTTTTCAGTATTTATGAATGAATGAATGAATGAATGGAGGGAGGGAGGGAGGGAAGGAAGGAAGGAAGGAAGGAAGGAATGGAGGAAGGAAGGAAGGAATGGAGGAAGGAAGGAAGGAATGGAGGGAGGAAGGAAGGAAGGAAGGACGGAAGGAAGGAAGGAAGGAAGGAAGTGTTGCAGCAGTTGTGGCAGTATTGGAGGGGCATGTTTTAGAACTAACATCTTATTCAGAGAAACTGTACAGTTATAAAGGAGCATGAACTGATTACTACTTAATGTCTCATGTGATCTTTCTTGGGTTAAGTATCTCAAAAACTTCTGCCACATATACTCTCCCATATTATGGATCAGCAACAGTAACATTGCTTTTATCTTCAGCAAGAAAGAGCCCTCTATGATGGAACTCAATCTGTGTAATTTTTAAACAATGGAATCATGTGTCATATCTCCACTGCTGGCCCTCTAGAATTTTGGCTTTTTCTCTTTTGGAAGACTCTAACAGCCCAGGAGTGAATAATTCCTCTGGACCACTCAATTGAGCAACTTTGCACTAATGTCCTATATTATATGATGCTGTGCTGTGCTCTGTTGCATAGTGTTGCATTACATTATATTATACTAAACTGTATTATATGGCACTATATGATAAATTTGGATTCTTAGTTATTTTGTTATAGTTAATATAACAGTTAGAGGCTTGTGTCTCATATTGGTATACAAATTTGAGAGACATCTTATTCAAATTCAAAATGCCCTTGAGAGATAGATGCATACATTGCTATTCTGAAATAACAACTGTGCATTTGCACCCTTATTATTGGTATTTGTATGGCTAGAAAAAATTATGAGCGTTTTAAAAAAATGATTAAACTACACTTGGATTTTAGTAACCTTCCCTCTTTTATTACAATTTTGTTTGCATGTTCATTTGCATTATTTTATATAGATTTATTGTATATTACCTTGAGAATGAAGAGACAAGTAGTATATTAATCAAATAATTAATAAATGCCATGATACTGTACATCAAAATATCTGGGAACTGATTGCTATGAATGAATCTGGAATTTGGACAAAATTAATTGACCTTTGTTCAACTTATAAAATGTAATTGTCTGAATTTTAAAAGTGGAGTCCCTCTGTTGACTGTCTCAGACTTTTTCCTCCATTCCTCCATGCATATAATGTACATTTCTCTAAGTCTTGGACAAAGGATAGTGAAACGTATTCTGAAATACAGGCTAAATCAGGGGATTCTGATTGCCATGCACCAATGTTCCTTCAGCACAGATCATATATCTGAATTGCTATTGCTCATTTCAGATGTTGAGAGTAAGATGCTTTGAATCTATTTGCTTTGGATCTGTGATATACTGTTATGTGTCATAGAATGTAAATGACTGTGTTTGGTTACATTCTGTCATGGATCTTGATTGTCTTCATATTAATATGATGTCATTGAGTCAAGAGTGGAATGTTCTCTCTCCAGAATTGTTTGAGAAAATACCGTATTTGCTGGCGTATAAGACGACTGGGCATATAAGATGACCCCCCAACATTTCCACTCAAAATATAGAGTGGATGGCTCTGCTGCGGTGCTGGCAGCAGCTGCCCGGAGCTATACCCAGGCCCGCCTTGGAAGTTCATGGCCGGCGACAAGACCCGAGGAGGGTGAGGAGGAGGGGAAGCGGCCAGGCAGGCGGCAGTGGAGGAGGAGGAGGGGGGAAGCGGCTCTCTGGCAGCAGGCGGGCGAGCAGGCAGCTGGCTCAGTGGCAAGGAGGGCGAGGAGGAGGGGAAGCTGCCAGGCGGGCAGCGGCAGCAGAGGAGGAGGAGGGGAAGTGGCTCTCCAGCGGCGGGCAGGTGAGCGGGCAGCTGGCTCAGTGGCAAGGAGGGCGAGGAGGAGGGGAAGCTGCCAGGCGGGCAGCGGCAGCAGAGGAGGAGGAGGGGAAGTGGCTCTCCAGCGGCGGGCTCTGGCTGCTCCGGCATGGCCAGCTCTGCTTCCCTCCGTCCGTCCAGACTGCCCACCTGCCTGGCCACCTGCCTTCCTCCCAACTGGCATGGCCCCGCGTCAGTCAATGGCGGTGGCGGCTCCTTCCTGGCCCAACTGAAGTGCACCTGGCGTATAAGACACCCCTCCCATTTGGAGTCATGTTTTTTGGGCCAAAAAAGTTATCTTATACCCTGGCAAATATGGTACTATCATTTGGATATTTTGGTATCTTCTAAGATTTCTGTTGGTATGCCAAAATTTTGTTGATGATACAGTGTTTTATCTAACACTTCTATCTGTCTTTCTATACCTTTCCTTGTGGATTAATAGAAAAATCCTAGGAGTTTTGTGCACATAATTAACATAACAGAAGACACTAAGATGCTTGAATTGGTGATTTTTAAAAAAAAGATCCTCAGAGGTGATGATGAATCTTTGAGGCAGAAAAAACATTAGAATGTTTACATGTCAACTCACTTCTCTTTTCCAGCCAAAGCAACGTACATCAATAGTAGCGGCTTTTGAATTTCACCGATTAAACCACAGCCATGATTATTTTGAAATCAACTCATCCATAGGCTATGCAAGCTTTACTTCCAGCCCTCCAATCAGTCCAGCTAACTATTCAATTGGATCAGTTGAGGGCAGCATTGAAGACAATGATATTACAGGTAAAATAAAAATATTTTTTCTACTACTATACTACACTACTTAACATGCATATTGATGCTGTGAGCTGAAATCCAAATAATACTGGATAATTTAACAACAGTAAATAGCATTTTATGAACAATGTTTTAAATAATTTTAGATTAAAATCCAAAATAATACTAAAATATATTCTATAAGATATATTTCAGTAAAAAAAGTAAATTAACAATGTTTCAAATGTATTTTCTGGGTTTTTCTGACTGTAGAAAAGATCTAAAAACTTCTGCCAACAGCATTTATGTATTATGACAAATCTGTCATTATAGTCTTTTTATTATAATCATTTAGTGGTGATTTAGTTCAGTTAAAATGCAAAATGGATATTTCCTAGGAATTGTGTCTTGCACATAAGATATTATAAAATGCCCCAGATTTGATGAAAGCTGAGATTTATATGTAAATGCTTACAATCCATGATACATTTCTGAAACAGCTATATATATTTTTTCTTAGATTTTTTCCAGAATAAATAGTACTATACTTTTAAAGTGACTATCCATATTTTCTGCTTTATTTCTGCTTTTACAAGCCGTTAAAAATTAATCCAGAATGTTTCAGATTATTTGATATGAGATTGTTTGTGGCCATCACTTTGCTATTGTGTAAGATTTATTGTTTATCCTTATTTAAAAATATAGCATTGGATTATACAAGTATAATAATGTATGCCTAAAGTTATTGCAGTTGGTATTTTTAATGTCCAAAATCTCTCTACATGAAGAGCAAAAACAAATTCACCTTGCCAAGCAAATAAATGCTGATGTATGTCCACCATCAGGGTAAGATTCTGTCTGAACCATCTGGAAGTCACTTAATAGAAGCAAATTAGGAGAATATTCGAGAATAATCAAGTAAAATGGGGCTACTTAGATACAGTGGTGCCTCGCACAGCGAGGTTAATCCGTTCCAGATTAACCCTCGCTGTGTGAAACATTGCTATACGGAAGTAAAAAAGCCATTGAAACGCATTAAACTACGTTTAATGCATTTCAATCTGCACGTTTACTTACCGTACAGCGATGCCGGCAGCCATTTTCACGCCCTCCCCTCGCAGAACGAGGGCGCGAAGCTGTCCGGCGGGTCCAAAATGGTCGTCGGAACAGCCGAAAGGGGCTGGGGCGCAGCGTTTTCACACCCTTGGTAAGCAAGGGGAGGGCGCGAAAACGCTGCCGGAAGCCCCGAAATGGCTGCGCGCAGCATTTTTGCGCCCTCCCCTTGCTTACCAAGGGCGCGAAAACGCTGACGGCCTCGTAGAGCGAATTCATCGCTCTACGAGGCACTCGTTCTGCGAGGCACCACTGTATAGGACAAATTTTCTGTGAACGTGGAGAAATGCAATCAATACAGCACTTATGTGCATGTGATTTATGCCTTACCACAGGTGCAAAAGAAGATTTAATAAATGACTGAGGTAATACTACTGAACTAGCCTGCTTCTAGTAAAAATCGTCTAATAATTTTAATATTTTATTTATATTTTATGTGCCCATAATTTTAATTTGAGCAATAGGACTTGTATTAAAATTGTAAGATTAAAATGCATATGCAATTTCAATAAAAAGTCATTTCAATTAATTGTGTGGGTCTTCAGATACTCTTTCCTTACCTTCTGGCATCCACCGCAAATCTCATCTTTCTATCTGTTACTGACTTGTTAACATAAGATTACAGATGATTTTATTTTGGTCAATTTTATCCAGTATACAATTTAGCAAAATTACTATAAACTTTACAAATAAAGAAAGAAGATGGGGGAACTGACTCATCAATTTACCACTGATACTCTAGTTTTGATATACTACTGCATTTCAGCTAATATTAGTTTAGCATTAATTTATATATAGTAAACTACAAAGGCAGTCCGGAGTTTTGAAATACTATTACAACTACAGACATTAATTTTATTTAGCCATACTAAGGCAGAATTGCTTTAAGAGTACCAAGAATATTTCCAATCAGGAATGCATACATTTTGAGACTGGGATGAATAAGTATATTTTGTCACAGTGAACCTGCTTTCTAAGCCCATATTCTTCCACTGAATAAAGTGAGTGATCTTTTCATTTATTCAGTACAGCATAATCTGAAAAGCTTTCTCCAACTCATGAATCATACCACTTAGGAATCAGCTATCCAGGAAATTTGTCTTAATGAAATGAATGGAAACAGTTTTTCTTGCTTTAAAAGAAAGTGCTCTCATAGCCTTTCATGCCATCAAAAGAAAAATGCAGAGCTAAATAAAAAGTAGAGCATGGGAAACTTATCATGCTATAAAAATCTATAACTTGAGAAATCTACCATAAAGATAAACATTGTCAAAACGATGGCATTCAAAATTGTTTATTTCCTATTGTTGTTTAGTCATTTAGTCGTGTCCGACTCTTCGTGATCCCATGGACCAGAGAACGCCAGGCCCTCCTGTCTTCCACTGCCTCCCAGAGTTGTGTCAAATTCATGTTGATCGCTTCTATGACACTGTCCAACCATCTCATCCTCTGTCGTCCCTTTCTCCTCCTGCCTTCACACTTTCCTAACATCAGCATCTTTTCCAGGGAGTCTTCTCATCTCATGAGATGGCCTAAGTATTGGAGCCTCAGCTTCAGGATCTGTCCTTCTAGTGAGCACTCAGGCTTGATTTCCTTCAAAACAAATGGATTTGTTCTCTTTGCAATCCAGGGGACTCTCAAGAGTCTTCTCCAGCACCACAATTCAAAACAATCAATTCTTCAGCAGTCAGCCTCCTTTATGGTCCAACTCTCACTTACATACATTGCTACTGGAAAAAACCATAGATTTTTTTTCGGCAAAGTGAAGTCTCTGCTTTTTAAGATGCTGTCTAGGTTTGTCATCACTTTCCTCCCAAGAAGCAGGTGTCTTTTAATTTAGTGGCTGCTGTCACCATCTGCAGTGATCATGGAGCCGAAGAAAGTACAATCTGTCACTGCCTCCATATCCTCCAGGAGGTGATGGGACCAGTGGCCATGATCTTGTTTTTTTTTTTATGTTGAGCTTCAGACCATTTTTGTGCTCTCCTCTTTCACTCTCATTAAGAGGTTCCTTAATGCTTCCTCACTTTCTGCCATCAGAGTGATATCATCTGCATATCTGAGGTTGTTGATATTTCTTCCTGCTATCTTAATTTCAGTTTGGGATTCATCCAGTCCGGCCTTTCACATGATGTATTTTGCATATACGTTAAATAAGCAGTGAGACAATATACGGCCTTGTCGTACTCCTTTCCCAATTTTGAACCAATCAGTTGTTCCATATCCAGT